CTAGTTATTATTATTTTCTTTTTTCTTCTTACAAAATTTGTGCAGAGGATTTCTCGGAGATGGCTCGATCGATTTTATCCAAATTTTCATGGTTGATGCATTGACATCTGAAGTTAATTCCGGCAAGTCCTTTTTTGGAAATTCCTTTTTAGTCGAGAGTTATCGCCCTTTGATCGAAATTTAGAGGACCTCCGTGTCTGTCACGTTACTCAAAAACGGCTAAAGCTAGAAAGCTGAATTTTTCAGGGATGATAGAGGACATGTTGCCATGTTGCACCTGGGTCATGATAATTTCCGGAAGTGTCTAGTATGGAAACTCGGTAGGGGTCAAAATTTAGGACACGAATCATGACTGATTTTTTTAAGACATTTTGCATCATATCTTTTAAAGTATAATTATTTTGTTAAAACATACTGAACAAAATTTGTGCAGAATGACAAGATCCGTAATATGATATCAAGAAAAAAGTGCTGACTCATCACATTAGGGGTCAAAAGGGGCTAAAAGTCTTTTTTCGATAACTCTTAAGCAGTCAATATTTTGTTATATATTACTGAAGCAAAAATGTTTATCTCAACAATCTACAACTATATATTATGATTTGGATGTCCTATGGTGCATAATAAGGGTCCATAAGGGGCCAGAATGCTAAATCTTTGACGCTTTTTATCTCAAAAGTGGGAAATATTTTGATAAGTAATATTGAACAAAAGATGTTCAAAATAATGTTCTAAACTATCTGACACCTTTCATTTTTCGCTAAATGTCCCCATTAAGGAGTTGAAGGGTTGGCCCCTAAATATTTCTTTTGCAAATAACTCGAAAACGAAACAGAATCTCTGAATAGTTGTTGAACAAAAAGTATTCAAAATCAGGAGAACTTTAAGACGAGATCAGGAAAAAGGGTCTGGGCACTCAAATTAGGGGCCAAGAGGGGTCAAAAGTCTTTTTTTGATAACTCTTATGCAGTCAATATTTTGTTATGCATTACTGAAGCAAAAATGTTTATCTCAACAATCTACAACTATATATTATGATTTGGATGCCCTATGGTGCATAATAAGGGCCCATAAGGGGCCAGAATGCTAAATCTTTGACGCTTTTTATCTCAAAAGTGGGAAATATTTTGATAAGTAATATTGAACAAAAGATGTTCAAAATAATGTTCTAAACAATCTGACACCTTTCATTTTTCGCTAAACGTCCCCATTAAGGAGTTGAAGGGTTGGCCCCTAAATATTTCTTTTGCAAATAACTCGAAAACGAAACAGAATCTCTGAGGAGTTGTTGAACAAAAAGTATTCAAAATCATGAGAACTTTGAGATAAGATCAGGAAAAAGGGGCTGGGCACTCAAATTAGGGGCCAAGAGGGGCCAAAAGTCTTTTTTCGATAACTCTTAAGCAGTCAATATTTTGTTATACATTACTGAAGCAAAGATATTTATCTCAACAATCTACAACTATATATTATGATTTGGATGTCCTATGGTGCATAATAAGGGTCCATAAGGGACCAGAATGCTAAATCTTTGACGCTTTTTATCTCAAAAGTGGGAAATATTTTGATTAGTAATATTGAACAAAAGATGTTCAAAATAATGTTCTGAATAATATGCAACCTTTCATTTTTCGCAAAACGTCCCCATTAAGGAGTTAAAGGGTTGGCCCCTAAATATTTCTTATGCAAAAAACTCGAAAACAAAAAAGAATCTCTGAATAGTTGTTGAACAAAAAATGTTTAAAATCCTTAGAGGTTTAAGTTAAAATCCAGAAAAAGGGTCTGGACACTCAAATTAGGGGCCGAGAGGGGCCAAAAGTCTTTAATCGATAACTCTAAAGCAGTCAATATTTTGTAATACATTACTGAAGCAAAAATGTTTATCTCAACAACCTACAACTACATATTATGATTTTCATGTCGTATGGAGCATAATAAGGGGCCATAAGGGGACAGAATGCTAAATCTTTGACGCTCTATATCTCAAAAGTGAGAAATATTTTGATAAGTAATATTGAACAAAAAATGTTCAAAATAATGTTCTAAACAATATGCAATCTTTTATTTTTCGCTAAACGTCCTCATTAAGGAGTTGAAGGGTTGGCCCCTAAATATTTCTTTTGAAAATAACTCGAAAGCGAAAGAGAATCTCTGAATAGTTGTTGAACAAAAAATGTTCAAAATCCTGAGAGCTTTAAGATGATATGAAGAAAAAAGGGCTGATCCCTAATATTAGGGGCCGTGAGGGGCCAAAAATCTAATTTTTAAATCTTTAATTTTCAAAGTCTGTTTACAGATTATGGAGGCAAAATCGTTCTTCTTCACAATCTTTATCATTCTTTTAGAATGAAAATCTCAATCAAAATCTTATCTCATCTTATCAAGAATCGGACGGAAGACCCACTCGTTGCTCGCAACGAGATCGTATCTAGTTATTATTATTTTTCTTCTTCTTCTTCTTCTTTGTCCGGGAGTGATCTTGTAAACTACACTTCCGACTTAGGTAAAACCTTTTTAGGGTCAGTAGGCATGTTATGTAGATTTGCGAAACAAAGGTTATTTTGTGCGCACGTGCTTGCAAGAGCGTGCACGTGCAACGCGTGAAATGACCAATATAATAGATATAGCCGTAACTTTTCTATTTTTGGATGAAATGCTTTGAAACTCATAATGTGATGATATATTAGTAGCATAGACAATATGACATGGTCAAAATAGCAAGATCTCACGCGCATGCACGTGCGCTTCACTCTGATTGGCTGAAACTAAAGTCTCAATATCTTTCTTGATTTTTGACGAAATCCTTTGAAATTTTGAACATAGCCATGCATTAGGATATCCTACAACATGATATATAGCAATTATCATGAAAGCACGTGCATGCACGTGTGCTGCAATCTGATTGGCTTAAACTTTAAATAGCTATAACTCCCTTGATTTTCAACCAAACATGATGGGATTTGGAACATAGATAGATATAATAGACTTCTACAAGACGGTATGGTCACCATGCACATGCATACACGTGCGTGTACGTGCGCTGCAATCTGATTGGCTGAAACTTTAAACAGCTATAACTCCCTTGGTTTTTAACCAAACGGGGTGGGATTTAGAACATAGATAGATGAAATGGACTTCTAGAAGAAGGTATGGTCACCATGCTCATGTATGCACGTGCGTGCACGTGAAATGAGTAAATTCAAAAATACACTTGAATGAGCGTATTTTTAAAAAATATTTTTGGGTTTAATACATTAATATTTAGTGTTTTAAAATATATAGATTGTGTTGACAAGATGATATGGTCATTACGCACATGCATTCACATGCGCACGCGTGCAATGCTAAAGTTTTAATGAATTTGGTACACTTCTGGGTAAACGTTGTTAAAATCTCAAATGCATGGAGTTTGTCTTATTTAATGAAGCTTACAGGGAATATGGCACCAAAAGGGAGTTGGGGAGCGTTTGGGGAACATCTGTAACGGTCCCCGTTACAATTAGCACTAGTTAATTGTGTGTGATTGTTTTTTTTTTTTTTTTGTTCCTTTTGGGTAAAAGGACCGCCCGTGACGTCACGTCATGGCGTCGCGGACAACGGTTGCATCTGATGTTCCGGAAGCTGTCCAAGATCGCCCATTCAGCAACAGCAGTGTTCAAATAACAGGCGACAACGTGGAGAAGAAACGGAAAATAGCAAGACGCTACATTCAAAAAGAAAGTGATGAAAGGTGATGAAAGGTCTTAAAAGTATTTCCAAAATAGTTGAAAAAATTTATCCCTCCATGACAAATGTTACTCTATAAACCAAAATTTTTTTTCGCATGCGAAAAATATCCGTGAGTTTTGCGACCAACTTTAACCCGGGAATATTGAAATATAATCTCTAACCATTTATTTTGATTTGTATTTGTAGAAAACTTCCTCAGTCTTGAAAGTACATGTATATAAGTGACCCCCGGGAAAAAATTAAGTATGAAAAATAGTCCAAAATTTTCATTGAACATTTTAATAAATTGTATTATTATTTAATTATTATTATTTGTTTCGATTTAAAAGTTAAATTATTTTTTTTAAAAGTATAATTGATTTATTTCAATTTCGTAAATATTGGCTTTGCCTTTTTCGCAACGTTTACGGATGGTCATGACGTCCCGTAACGTACCGCCGATTTTACGGAACGTTTACGCAAAGTTTGCGGGTGCGGTATTTACGGAGACGTCGTGAATAAGAATTTTTGGACTGCGGGTTGTTTCCGCAAAGTTTACGGGTCCGGTAAGTTTACTCAATATACATTAAACATAATACATCATACACCGCACCCGATCAGAATACCGAACCCGTTCCAAATATAGTTTACAGCATTTCATCAACAATCTTTACAATTTAAATTTGTGTCGGTATAATAAAACAGTTTGATAACATTTTTAGCAGTGAATACTGTAATATATTCATTGAATAAAGTGATATCCTGTCATAGTGTGAAAGGATATCAAAATGATATCCTTTCGCAGTGTGACAAACAACAAAAGTGCGGTAAAACTCTCGATTTACATTCCAATAACAAAGAATGTTGTAAAAAATACTGCTTGGTCCTTAGGAAATAAACCATTCTGACTACAATAAAAGTGCCAAAGATCCCCCAAATACGTAGTTGAAATCCTTATTTACTACGTTTTCAATCTCATAACACTTGGCTATGACGTCTTAACCGCTTAACTATGATGACTGCATTAGAAAAAGGCAGAGGAGAAAGGAAAATGAAAGAAAATGTATTAAATAAAAAATTCAATGTTTTTAGTTGAATGAGGAAATTATTTCACTCGTTAGACTGGATTTTTTTTTTCATATTTTCACTCGTGCTTCGCAATCGTGAAAATATCGAAAAATCCTGTCCCACTCGTGAAATAAATTTCATATTCATCTAAAAAACATTGAGTGTCCTCTACATAGTATATCATGGAGGGAGTTAGCAAGATTCAAGTTCCCCAAGACCAGGCCCCGCCGTCACCAACATCCCTCAACTCAACACTCAGCCTCAACTCTGAGGTTTTCCCTCAAATATCTCACCTCACCCTCAAGTCACCGTCACCAAAAAAAATTGAGGGATTTTCCTGAGGAAATCCTCAAATATTTAAGGATAGCTTCATAGCAACCTTAAAAATTTCCTCAAGCAAATTTAACATGGCTGGCAGACGTCGTAGACGACGTAGGTTTCGGAGATATCGCAATCGACCGTCAAAAAGGGTGATACGAGATCGACTGAACCCCTTAGAAGCCTACACAGACGATGAACTTTTTGACCGCTATCGATTTAGACAGGCTTCAGTCGTGTATTTACTGGACTTGATAGGTGGAACTTTGATAGGTAGTACAAAAAACAATGCCTTACCTCCGCTCTTACAGCTCTTCGTGTGTCTGAGGTTCTTTGCGACAGGCGCCTATCATAAACTGATAGGTGATAGCATGAATGTGTCTGAGTCAACTGTCGGTAGATGCTGTAGATCAGTCACTAATGCCATCCTTACTGTAAGACAACAATTCATTGTTTTCCCTAGAGACGAACAAGCACGGAAAACGAAGCAAGAGTTCATCAAAATTGCCGGTATGTTGTTCGTCGTTTTGTTTTCTTTTCTACTTTCTCTTTCAAAACTTACATGTAGGAAGGATAACTCGTTCTTTTCGATTTCGTGCATGTACAGGGTGTTTCACAATATATGTCACACATCTAAAGAACACAAGCTACATATATTATATATCATTTTAATCAGCATTTATTCAATTTTTGTTTGAAGACACAGTTAACTCAAATGTAAGATTTGTAAATTATAAATGCCTAATGGACCCGATTCAGGCAATAATTGATATTTTTATTAAAATATTATAAGAATGTGTTTTTATGAGCAATTTATTTTTCTTTAATTTTACATTCTCATAAAATGCAGTGATTGTCGATTAGCGACGATATTTGTTTTGAAGCAAGGACTGGTAGAGCGGAAACGCTGATTGAAAATAGTATTCGCCGACTCAAATTCGTTTTAATCTCAACTAACCTTGAAAATTCAATGTCCACCATGAGTATGCTACAAGTGCATCCTATCCACCAAAATAGGGACTTCGATATGTGTATAATTTGACAAATATTCGAAGAAAATAACATTGCTTATGCATGCGACCATTCAGTTGTTAAAGAGATCTCGAGTTATGCATGAGATGAAGGATAAAATGTTACGATAGTATTACGCAATCTCCATAATTCACCTCTTATACTATTTTATTTTTGGTAATTATAAAATTTTAAATATTGGCTATAATATAAAGACGTTGCAGTGGCAGATCTAGCAATTTAAAAAAAGAGAGAGAGAGGGGGGGTGTCCAGGTGTCCAACACTCATGCATAAAAGCACTTCAAACCTGGCAACACCGAGTTTTCAACAGTTCTATGGGGGACTTTGACAAGCCAAAAACAAACAAACAAACAATTAAAACAAAAACACAAACAAGCAAGCATTAGATGTACATGTAGCTATAATTCGCTGGGATCTTCCATTGGTTTCAAAGTGAAACATTGTGTAGGACGTGTTGGTAGTCCACCCAGGGCTGGCATTGCATGTCATGTGACGGTACTCGGAGGAAAGCATATTAAACAAGGGAACTCTATTTGACCCCCTCCCCCTGCACGATTTAAAAGATTTAATAAATCATTTTTTGTGTATGGCGATGGGCCTCTACCCCGACCTCAAACTGCCCCCTCCCATAGCCTTTACAAGATCCCACCTCTGCTAATGTCTATGTTTTTTTAAAGGGATGTCATATCTATATATATATATATGTACTATTTTTACCACACATTGTAAGTTAGACAATAAATAAAAACTTAAACACTATACATTGTATAATAAATTTACACAGGATTCCCGAACACACTGGGATGCGTTGATGGAACATTCATTAGAATTATGGCTCCAACTGAAAATGAACCGGATTTTGTGAATAGAAAGGGATTCCATTCTTTGAATGTACAGGTCAGTATTATATTTCTTCTTTATTTTATTTGTTGTTTTATCTCACATCAAATGCTTCCAATGTTGAAGTTATAGACTATTTAATCAAAACATCAGTGATATGAGCGTCGTATTTGAAAGGGGCAGCCAATGAAAAAATCTATTCCCCTGAAAAAAGGACTTGATAAGCAGAATTTTATTTTAAAAGTCATTTGAACTCCTAATTACTAAATCATATTTAGCTGACTATACTGCAACAAAAAGTTGCCTCCCACACCCCTTCTGATGCTACGAGACTACATATCAATATTATTTTTATTTAAATTCTTTAACTCTGCAGCATTATATGCAATTTATCAGCCATCTTAAAAAGTTAGGGTTTCATTTTGATTTCAAATAGATGGTTTGTGATGCCAACTTCCGATTCACGAGTGTGTGTGCCAGCTGGCCCGGTAGTGTCCATGATAGCAGGATTTGGCGGGAATCCTTCCTTTGTCGACAATTCGAAAGAGGTAAACAACTTTATTTATATTTTACTAAAAAATATTGATACATTTGTTTATCGATGGAGAAGGGAAACAAATTTGAAATGTTGAAGGTTATTATTCAAGAAATTCAATTAAGAAACTCGTACGTTTAGGTGAACACAATGGCGTTTTGTTGGGCGATTCTGGATACCCCTGTCGACGCTATTTAATGACACCATACCTCAACCCGCAGACAAACGCTCACCAACGATTTAATGCATCTCTGTGTCGAACCAGAGTTCTTATTGAGCAAAGTTTTGGAATTCTGAAACGGAGGTTTTCCTGTCTTCAAGGAACTCTGAGGTAAAGAAGCTTTGCATTATTTAGATGAAATACATGCAACTTCTAAAAAACATATTTTGCTATATTCAGTAAATAATACCCTCTATAATTTTTTAACAGATAAACCGTCTAAATATTTCATATTGGCTCCAACTAAAATTATTGACAGCCATCTCTTGGGGAATACCACAATCAAAATACATCTAATTAAGTAAAAATTCAAATCTAATTTGATTTTTTTTTTACAGAACGGCCCCTGAACAGGCAGTAGCATACGTTGTCGCTTGCGTCATCCTTCATAATCTTGGGATTCGAACTGGTGATGTGATGGATAGATTGGACCAGCAAGAGGATGCATTTGACCCGACGGCCCACCAAGTTGTGTGCAATTCTCCAGAGGGAAGTCACTTGCGAGACTATATCGCACAGACGTATTTCGGGTAGAGCTACATGTAGGTATGCACATATTCATAAACACTTGCATATTTTTGAATTCATAATACCGAAGATCACACAACTTACGTGTATGTATACAACTATACATTGATTCAACCAATGACAATTATTTATATAACATTTTTTTGTCTATTTCAGGTCATTTTCAAGTGGTTGACGGTTTATAGTGACATATGTTTCAGAATTTCATTTGATATACTGAAGTACATACGTTTATTTATAGTTTAAAAAATAAATATTTCACATTTACTGATCCCAATTCAAGAGTTTGTGATCTATTCAGAGCCTCTCAAAAGTAGTAAGTCATTGACAAACAGGGTTTATGATGAATTCTGGAAATTCAGAACTTAATTTACACAATAAATATGATTTTTTAATCTCAAGCATTTCAATCTCCGTTTGCAATTTTTTCTCCTCTAAGGCTAATTTCTTTTGTTCTTGAACAAGCTTGTTTATTTGTTGTGTCAGCTTCTCATTTTCAAGTTTACTATTTTTTATCTCTAGATCATCCAAGATCTCTCGTGGTACCATCTTCCTCTTCTTTTCCTTAGGCCGTACATCTTTCACAAAAAATATAAATGCAAATATATACACTGTACTTGCGTATGTACCATCTTATCAAAGATTAGTGTTAATATATTTTTAAAATGATAGGTATCTTACCTGAATTTGTACTAAATGATAAACTTAAACCGGGGCTCTTAGAGGATGTTGAAGCATCACCGGTTCCTTCAACAACTGCTGCTAACTCTTGTGTTTGGACAGATGTTATTGGTTCTATAATTACAATGTACATGTATATTAAATGTTTAAAGTTTTCCGTGGTCCCAAAATATGACATTTTTTTAAATCTTAACTCTACTAGAGAAGGAGAATTTTACTCTGGCAAAGTTCTACCTCTGAAATAAGTGACATTGTTTAAATTACCATCGGTATCAATGCTTCCCACCAGGCCAACAATGTTGGGTCGCGTATCCATTGCCTGATACAAGGCCTCCTCTGCCTGAGTGAGGGGCGCTGATGGTGGACCTCCCCCAGTCTTGGGCCTGCGTATGTCATCAATTTTCTCTTTTGCTACAATTGATGGCGATTTTAAACATTTCTCATTGATAAATATTTCCCACAAATACTTTGCTCAACTCTAAAAAAAGTAATAACATTTTACCTCTCTGTTTGATGTTGTCATACTTTTTGTAGATGGAGTCAGATGTTCTGTCGTTTTTAAATTGTCTGTATAAATGAAATTAAAAACAAAACATTGATAAATTCTAGTTTGTGTTTGACAAATTTGACATCTCACTTTAAAAGTGTAACATTTTCCTTTAAATATAATAGTGGATAATCACATAGAATATACTTAAACATACCCGGTAATTATATTTTGTTTATTTAAATAGTTATATTTTTGTTTTGTTTGTTAAAAAAATATTTTTTTTTGTAGTCATTTATATTCGTTTTCTTGTATCCTATTTTTAAAAAAATCTGTAGGGTGGTCAAATTATTTCCCCCCATTTGGGACTTGATTTTTTATTTTAAAATGAATTTCTTTAATCTCCAATATTATTAATGTCTGAAGCCTCGGTCTGAAGTGGTTTGTACCTATATTTGAGCCCCCACCCGCTTTCGTCGTTTATGACCAGAAATGGTATATAATACACGACATAACGGTGTAACCAACATATGTGATGCTGTTTAAGATGAGATTTTATTAAATTAACGGAGGAATTTTGATTAACCGTGGGCATTTACGGTTACGACAGAAAACATTGTCCGTATTAATTTAGGACTGGAATATACTGGGATAAAATTTGTGTTTACACCTACAAAGGGAGATCACAGCGAGAATCGTCTGGTCATGGGTCAAAACAAAAAGTAAGTGAATTCAGATTGATATAACAGTACTTACAAATTCAGTGTGTCAGTGATGGACTTCCAAGTTTCTTCTTTTACCTTTCCATGTTTCCCTTTAACCCCCGCCCCTTTCATCTTTCCAAATAGTTGTTGTTCGAATTTTAAAACCTCTTCAATTAAAGTTATCTCCTCCTCGCTGGTCCAATTAGCCCCCCGTTTCCTTTTACCCCCTGATATCAACCCAATTATGTCTTTCTCAGCCATTTTCATACAAAATAATACACAGACGACAGATATTTATTGCGTAAAATCATTACGTAAAAATTCCGCGAAAGTGCGCGATGTTATTGATGTAACACCTCAACTGAGTTGAGGGAAAAAAATCACCTCTATTGAGGTGATACTCAGTCTGTTTGGTGACGGTGAATTGAGGAAATCCTCAGTTAGGGAAACCTCAAGGGGTTTGAATTGAGTATTGAGGGTGAGGTTGAGGAATTTTGGTGACGGCGGGGCCAGGACTATTTCCCGAGGTGCAGCGCGATATACTTTAACTGTATACTAATATTTTTCAAATCAACATCATAACGAGGTGATAAAAAAGTTCGCGGACTAATTGTATAACTTCCGAAAAAAAAAAATGATATCTAGGGTTTTCAGTGCTGAAAATTTTTCAAAGTAGTCCTCTCCGATTTTAACGCGCATCTTCAAAAGTTTTGCCCATGCGCGGAGCACGTGATATAGGCGGTCACGTGACATGCTCCTTAGCGTTCTGTCACAGAAGCTTAAAGATTATTCAGACTAACATATTTCTTACCATGGAAGTTATTTTTTACAACAAAAACAGTCCATTTGTCAGAAGTGGCCAGATCTCGGCATTAGTATGGGTGGATAATGATATCCTTTTTCAGAATGAGCATGGTGACCATCAAAACCCAAGTCCTGTGTCTTTGGAGCGTCGTTTTTTCAATGTGGATAAAGTATGGGTGCCTTCTTTTTATCATACATGTATCTGATATGTTTAAAGTCTAAAGTAAACGATATTTTAGGGATTAAATCATTACATTATTGTAAAGATATTCAACTATTTTTCAAACTGTAATTTGGGGATCTTTCATTTCAAATTGCTTAACAAATGACACATCTCTTCCCCAGCTTGGTTGCCCTGGGCGACAGAACAAACATCATTTTTAACATCTCCCTTCCTTCACTTAAACCAATCCAATTACTGACTAAACTTCTGGCAAGTCTTTTGTCTTCATAAACCGTTTACAAATTATTATAAGCTTCTGCAAAGGAATTTCCAAGATATAGGCGTATGTTTAACTTTACAGCCGTTCGTTTTTCGAATACGACTAGGTCAATCATTTTTTGTCACAAGTGACCTATATAGTGACGTCATTTTCACATTGTGACGTCACAAACAGGGGGGGGGGTCCTTACATATATTTATAGAACTTGTGAATGTATATAGTAAAGTATGTAAATTCGTATAGCTAAGGCATAAGGCATATTGTCTTGGATCGACATAGTGCGTCAGTGCCATACATGTTGAAAAGGTATTTATTTTATTAATATTCTATTTATTAATGTGTTTGCATCCTGTGCACTTGTAATTGCATAATTTTAAGAAACAGTATTTTTTCATTAGGGGACGACCATTTGATTCTGAGGTGGGGGCCTGGCAGATTTTGGAAATAATCTCTCCCTGAAAATGTTGAAAATAAATAATCTGTCCTCCTCTGCAAAGAAAATAAATAATCTGACCTTGACTTATGATATTTAGATATTGTGAAAACACCTTTTTATTTACGTTCAATTTAACCTCAGAATCTTTAATTCAGCATTTTTTTGGCTCGCTCCGCTCGTCATTTTAGAACCAAATAGTATTTAAAATCAGATTACCAGACTGGATACTTGTAGTCAGTTGATCAGCATGGCAATGTGCACTCAGTAGATGTGATGAATCACTTTTAATATACTGAAAGGAAAAAGAAACGCATAAGAACATAATATGGGAAAATTTTTTGACTATGTGGCCGAAAAATATGAAAATTGGTCAGATCTAGATGTGTATTTTGGTCAGTTTGCATTAAAATCGCTAGTCAAAACTACTCAACCATGAAATGTACGGCGTCACGTAGGGGAAATGATAAAACATCAAAAACACGTGCATGTTGATGATGATAATTTTGTGATAAAATTTTGTAGTGCCATACGATGCATTAGAGTTATAGACATCGTTTTTGCATATTTGCAGTCAGTATAAATTTCTTGCAATCGTGGTATTGCTGACTGAAGCTACTGTGGGTTTAGTAATTGAATTCAATATTGTATAAGTGAATTAAAACGCAAAAACATGCTGCTGTACAGATTGTTTTCAACTTTTCAACCCAATAAAAGTTTTTTTGATTGTCAAAGAGTTAACGTAAATTGT